GCGCGCCAGGCCTTGCACGTTGAATGCCGTGGGGCTCCTGCCTGCCTGGTGGAGTCGCGAGGGGCTAGCCTGGCCCTTGCCCCACCACCCTCGTGTGTGTGTGGAGAAGCTCGCGCGGTCCCTTACTCAGGTAAGGCAAGGCAAGGCAAGGCAAGGTAATATTCTCTCCACACACCTCTCAGGTGGTCCGCTGGATCGATTCTCGGCGCGGTGCGGGCGCGGGCGGAGATGGGAGCGCCGCCGCCTCGCCGGGTGTGCGAGACGACCCGCGCGGCGGGATGAGCGTCGAGGAGTTCCTCAGGCTGGCGAAGGAGCAGGCGTAGCTCCAAGGAAGCGGCCGAGGGGGTCGGCTCGAGGTGCGTGAGGATTCATGCATGCGCGCGGGCAGTGTCTCTGTCTGTTAACGGGAATAAATAAATAAAAACGGACACCTCTCTACTGTGAGATGGGTAAAAAGGAACAGGCCCCCGCCCTTGCGATCTTTGTGCAGGGTTCTTTGTCTAGGGTACCCAGGCTAGACCCCCCCCTAAAAAGATATTATGCCACTCGTTTCTCGCGCGAAACGCCGCTGGTCTTCCGACAGCAGCGGCGGGCACCAGCAGCGTCGCGCGCGCCGGATTCGGGCGCGGCAGCCACGCCCGGGACCGTGGCCATGGCCAAGAAACGTAAGTCGCCCAAACGCGCGACGTTGGACGGTGCTGCTGCGCCTGATGCGTTCGGCGGCAACGAGAAGGCGCGCCGCGCAGAGATCAAAACAGCAGCCGAGTTTTTTGAGCCTTTTCTGTAGCACCTGCTCGTGCCACGCGTGCACTAGATACCCGTCTGAACCGACTACACCCCGTCGCGGAGCAGGTGCGCCGCCTGGTGCAGTGGGAGGTCGTCTGGGAGTGGGCCGTCAAGAACCACGTGAGGGGCGAGAGCTGGCAGGAGGTTGCAGAGAAGCTGGACCTTCAGATCAAGGCCGGGCAGTGGCCGAAGGCGACGCTCGGTGAGCTGGACTCGGAGGTGTACAACGGCAACCCAGAGCGGCTGGGCAAGAACCTCGACAAGCGCATGGGCATCGACCACGGGGACGTCCGCCGCTCGCGCCAGCTCGTCAGCGCCGCCCTGCAGCATGTCGGCCAGGCCAGCTCGATAAAGCTCCACTGCTTGTTTGCCGCATCTGAGTCGAACGTGTCGAGCCGCTGGAGCGTGTCCATCACGATGATGACCGGCCGCTGCGAGGTTCGCTGCAGCGCAAGCTCGAGCAGAAGGTCCGCCGCGGCCGACTTGCCGGAGATGCGGTCGACGACGATCCAGTTCTTTGCAAACGCGGCCGCCTCGACGATGTCGACGTAGATGCTGATGATCCGCTTGAAGAGGAGCTCATCGAGAACCGCGCGTTCTGTCTGGATGAGCTCTGGTTTGCCGTCCCGGTCCGCCCGCCCGCTCGAGGCCTGCTGGTGCTGCAC